CGCACAGGGTCGGTTCTACGCCGCCGCGGCTCCCGGGCTCTCCCGCCAGCCGCCGGGTTTCGCAGGGTGTCGTGGGGCTTCGCGGGGCGGGGGGCGCCGTCTGGCGGGCGGGGTGGGCCTTTCCCGCGAAGAACGCTGTGCGTTTATTCGGACGCGCCCCTGCTGGGGAGGTGCCTCCCGCCGCGCACGAACCGGGGGGCGGGGAGGGCGGCGCTGGGACAGCGGAAGGGCCTCTGTCCCCCTGGGGTCTGGGATTCCGGACCCCTTGAGCTTGTTCACTGTCGGAGACGGAAGGGGCCTCGGTGATCCTACCCAACCCCTGCCTCTCTTATCCCCGATTGGGGAAATGGACGCCCGGAGGGCGGTAAGTCGAGCCACAGCCAGGCAGTGCTTATTCTGCGACACCATGTTGCATCGCGTTGTGGGAAACTCAATTGTACAAGGCTTTTGGGGGCGGGCAGGCGGGCGGTGTTGTTCATTGTAAGTCTCTGTACTGATTATTTAGCACCGAGCGTGCCTAGATCAAGCATGTCGATGTCTCCGCTATATTTACCCTTGGGGCATAACCTTTATTTTGCCCCGTCAGCTATACTCAGCTGGTCATAATTCCCACCCTCTGTTTCTCTACCTGTAAGCAGTGAAACAGCAGCCCTGAAGGTATGTGGGTAGTGACCTTGTCAGTTCGAGCCTCCTCCACCCTCGTTTCGAAAGGATTCAGTAAAATCAAAGGATGCTAGAACTGGTCAGGTGGGTCCCCTAGTGTTTCCAGAGCACAGGTTAGGCACTTTGGATCTGGAGTCACCCTTAGTGCATCTAAAGAAAAAGTGATAAGCTTTTACCTCTCAGTTGAGGTATCTGGTTTCTCCTTTGATAGATTAAACCCAGAGAATTGGATTTTTAAATTAAGGACCTTGCTTTGACTATAGTAACAAGATAGTGTCATAACTAGGCCTGGAACCCAGACTGATCTTGTTCTGATTGCTGACTTAGACCTGCTGACTTACGGGAGTTCACATCTTTGAGAATTACATTTGCCTTACCCCCAGTTTTTGCACAAAGACCTTTGTGCTGGGATCACATCTAGGTCTTGCTCATCCATGTAGGCTGTAAATTACAGTGAGTATTTAGACTTTACACTGTTTATGCCACAAACGTTTGATACTTGTAGTTGCTTAAAAGTCAACCTATTAACTGTGCTGCTTACTGTTTAGATAGCTTGAGTGTTTTAGGTAGCAAACAGTTTAAAATTATGGTAAATAAGTTTTGCAATAGCGAAGAATTACCTGTGTTAAGGAATTTAAATATACAGATCAGTTTAGGAAAGAAATTTAGCTGTGTTCACAGTATAAATAAACATAAAATTATAAACTCCATTACCACAGAATACTGTGCACACAGCCCTTACTTCTGTTGCCAAATTAAGAATCTATTCATACCATCCTGGTGTGTAGGATGAAACTAGAGGGAAAGCTTTATTTTTCTTCTTTTCACATGTGTATCAGTGGTTTCTTTGAAGACATCATAAGTCTCAAGAGGTTAAAATTTAGAAGGAAAGTTTTAAATCTGTGAAGTCTAGGAGGGTTTCATGACCTTCCTTTTTCTATGCACAGGCCTGTTTTTTAAAATTTGAGACTCTAAATACACAGTGATGTTCTTTTTTTTTTTTTAGATTTTATTTGAGAGCAAGAGTGCACAAGGTTAGGGGGGGCAGAGGGAGAGGGAGAAGCAGGCTCCCCGCTGAGCAGGGAGCCCAGTGCGGGGCTGGATCCCAGGACTTAAAGGCAGACACCCAGTCGACTGAGCCACCCAGGTACCCATACAGTGATATTCTTAAAATATCTTAAAATCATTAAATATAGGGGTCAATAAACGGTTAATTTCTGCTAGCCATAGTTTTCTGCTTAATAACAGTCTCCATTATTACAAACAGCTGTGACAAACTAGTTGCAGTAACATTAATTTGTAAAATTTTGGGAAGTAAATCCTGTAAAAATTTAAGGTGAACATGGACAAAATTTGGTTGGTAGGGTGTACAAATAACTTTGTATTATCAAGGAACAATAGATTGCTAAACAGTTTGCAGATGGTAACTTCAGAATTTAAAATGTATTGTGTATTCAGTATGTAAATGAAATTTCTTAACATTCATAAATTGTCACAACATGATATTATATAATCATATATACATTAATCAGAGTATTCTTGTTATTTTATCATTCTTTAGTCCTGAGACTCTGAAGAAGAGCAAAGGATTACCTAGATATAAAGCATTTGTGTGCTAAGCTGTTTTGAAAATGTTGGTTAATCTTAGATTGGCAATTGTAGTCCTAATAAGAGTTCTTAAATTTGTGTCTGTCAGCTGAAACAGCAAGAAGTAAGGATGTAGAAGACTAAGTGATTAATAATTATCAAACTCTACCCAGGCAAACTTCTTTTCAAGCATCTTCAAACTTTTTTTTTTTTTTTAACTGAAAGTGCCATTGGTTTCTTTAACTGGTTAAGAGCACAAAATGTAACAGGCAAGGAGGTGTGTTTTAAACAAATTAAAGCTGTGGGTGGTTTTTTGTTTTTTTTTTCCCCCAATTGTCCCCAAGTCAGATAAATACCCACAAAAATGATGGGGGAAGGAAGGCTGTCCTACATAAGAAGTGTATCCTGAATTAAGGGAAACTGCTATTGAAACAGGAATTAACATAATAAAGTCAGCAGTAGGTTAGCAGTTTTAAAAATTGAGTGTTCAGGGTGCTTGGCTGACTCAGTGGAGTGTGCAACTCTTGATCTTGGGGTTGTGGGTTCAAGCTTCATGTTGGGTGTAGCGATTAGTTAAAAAAAATCTTAAAAATAATTGAGTCTTCATATGCTGCATGGCACGATGCTATACTATATAAACTACTGAAATACTGCTATGTAGGAAGGAGGAAGTCTGTATGGCTTTTAGCAAAAATGCTTTTCCAGAAAAGCAAATCAAAACAATGCAGTCAGCAAATCAAGGAGGCTATAGCTAGATACCAGAACTATGGCTTCTCATATCTGTGCTAGAGGATCCTTTGTATCCAGAATGGACTAAAATTTCAGGACAAAACAGGGACTTTTAAAAAACATTCCTTTATCCATTTTAAGTTCTCTGCCTCTTTCCCCCTCCCCCTGCATTTCAGCATGATCTAGCAGAAAGATGGCTGCCATTGGCTATTTTATTTTTTCTTTCTGTGGCAAGACCGTCATGGTGCCTGGATATTTCAGGTTTGTATACTTCTCTTACCATTGTCTTGTTGTGGTCAAAAAACTTAGTAATGGACTTAGTGTACTTGGCTTGCCGCTCCTGCTTTATTCTCCCACTAATGAAGGTCAGCTTCAGGGTGTATTTATCAAATCTTTTGAGACTGGAGGACAGTTGCCAGATACTAGGATCCATCCTTGTATGATCTTCCTGTGGGCCACCAGAAAGATGCTCTTCTCCTGAGCATAAATAAAGGATATGATAAGACACACAAAGCCAAAACAGGTTTGGATTCTGGAGCTGGGCACATATAATCCCAAATCAAAGCTACTATGTCAAGATGATGCAGATGATGAGGCAACCATCAATTAGACCAAGATTCTCCACAGAGTATCTTAAAAAGTAATATTAAAAAGTTTTGCTCAAAGGAAAATACATCACCTTAAACACTCAAAATTATGAAACAATAAATAAAAATAAGCATCTAACTCAAGAAATTAGAATACTATAAATCTAGACAAAACAGGAGAAAAGAGATAAAGAGGAAAAGCAAATTTAAAAACTGAAAATAGTAAAACTGGTAACTTCAACAGCTGGTTTTTTTTTCTGGGATGAGAGGAATGTAAATTTGACAAACTGGCTACCCTGCTCAAGAAAAAAGGGAACGTAAGTACACAAGACTAGAAGTATTTTTTAAAAACAAGTACTGTATAAGACTATATAAGTAAACCAGAACTTTTTTTTTTTTTAAAGGAAATCCAGTATCAAAATTGACTGCAGAAGAAAGAACCTAACAGACCAGTAACAATGGAAGAAATTGAGAAAGTTATCAAAAAGCTACCATCCCCCAAAACACCAGGCCCAGATGGTGTTACAGGTGAATTCCTTTAACTTTGAAGGAAAAGGTAATTTTGGTAAGGTTTAAATTGTTTACCAGCATCAGGAAGGAAAAGTGATAGATTGTTTTTACACAGTCAGTAGAACATTGATGCCTGAACTTGGCATGAAGATAGTACTAAAATTGAAAATTTGGTATGTTCTAGTGATGTGAAATTTTAAAATATTAGCAAAATGGTATCTAGTGATATATTAAAAAAAAATATTTCACCATGGCCAAGGAGGATTCATACCCTTATTATAAGGGCAAGTAATTAACAAGAAATAATGCTAATGTATATACCAAATAAATACATTAGTGAATAATAATAGGTCATCCTTGTTGAGCACCTCTAGTGCTCTAGACTACTCTCCGGGATGCTATACTAGTAGTAACTCAAATAACTGAGCCAACCTATGAGGTAGGTAACATCCTTCCCGTATAAATGAGGAAATTAAGCCATAGAGACATTGAGGAACTTGAAGGTCACACAGTGGATAGTGGTGGAGCCAGGATTTGAATTGAGGCTATTAGCTGCAACTCGTAAATGTTACACTGGTTCTGTCTCCAGTATTCATGTGATCATCTCAGTAGCTCCTTAAAAGCATTTGACCAAAGTTCCTGATTTAGTGGTGGTAGGAGGGGTTGAAGGTGGTTGACTTGCAGTAAAACAGGAATAAATGTGTACTCCCTTCCCATGTTTGAAAACTCTCTAAGCCCTTATCAGTTGATCATTAGTATTAGAAAAATGGAATGCAGTTTTAATGGCAAACATAATTTCCTAGTAAATAGCAGGGGGATGGGGCTTACATTATAATTGAAGATATACTAATTCTTTGAATGCAGAATGAAGTTTTGGGGTTTTTAATGTAATTTATCTGATGAAATTATGTGATAGTGCTGGAAAGACGTGCTTTACCTCGTATTTGCAGCACAATCCTAAAGGTGGGTAGGGATAGATGGTGAACAGGGAAGGTTACTTAAAGGAGTACAGATTTTCTAGGGTCCAGTTCAGTAAACATTTTTGTGTCATGATCTATTTCCCTATGTAAACTTGAAACTACTAGGACTTGGATTATGAATACTCTGATGACAGCTTCTTGTTTCTCACCCCAAAAGCCAGTGTCATGCTTAATAGTAATTTCTAGCAAAGTTCCCATAAGTATCAAGAAAATTATAAGGATATTCACTATTATTTTTTTTATTTTTATTTTTTTTCAAAGATTTTATTTATTTATTTGAGACAGAGAGAATGAGAGGGAGGAGGGTCAGAGGGAGAAGCAGACTCCCTGCAGAGCAGGGAGCCCGATGCGGGA